GGAGAGGGACGGAGCCCGGCCCGACACCGCGGCGATGGGCGCCGGCGCCGCCGCGGGGCTCCCGAGCCTCCCCGAGGAGCCGGGGATGGGCCCTCCTTCTGTGTGTCCCCCGTCCCCGTCCCTCTGTGCCCCCGACGGGGCTGGGGAGGCCGGGGCTGCCCGCGCCCCAGCAGCTGGGGATGCTCCGTGGGCATGGGGCGGGGAGAGGGGGGGAGCGGCCGGGCGGAGCCCCCCCGCCTACCTGTGGGGACGCCGAGAGGGACAGGATCGGGCCCTCTCCCAGCTGGTGGCTGCTGGCCTCCCCTTCCCTCCCAGGCCAGACAGGGCCTGACCCCCGCATCTGGACTGGGAGGGGGGGCCGGGGCCAAGCCACCGTCCGGTACAGGAGCCCGGGGCCCGGAGCCCGCCTGGACACCGGCCCGCTCTGAAGGGGCTCCCGGCGGGTCTCGGCCCGGAGTCTTCGTCCCCGGGAAAGAAAACCCGATGCCGGGGAAGTTTAAACTGGGGGAAATCTCGAGTCCTTGGGCAGGACACGGGAACTAAGGGGCCTGGCGCCCCCCGGCACGTTGTTTTAGGGGGCTGATGTCGGTGAAGGGGCGGTTTCCCCTGCACGGCGACGGGGACAGGGGACCCCGGCGTCTTTCGCCGTTCCCCCTCGCTGGGCAGCTTGTCGGCTCTCCCCTTAGAGCGAGGAAAGGGTTAAAGGGCGGCACTTGTCTCCCACCGGGCCGTGCCCCCGCCCCGGCGCCCCCCCGGTGCCGGGCGGGCCGCCCCCCGACGGCTGCCTCTGTCCGGAACCGCTCCGGCTGGGCTCTTCCCCTGTGATCCCGGCCGGGGGCAGCCCGCTGCCCCGACGTGCTGGCCCCGGGGGGACGGTACCGAGATCCCGGAGAGAGTGTCCCGAGGTTTCCCTCCCGCGGCTCCCGGCCGCCCTGCCCGCCCCCCCCCCTTCCCTCTCTCCTTGATTAAAAGGGCACTTTTATTTTTCCAACGGAGGTGCCCTCTCTCGGAGCGCTGCCCACGCCGTGTCACTCAAGCGGCCGGGCCCTGGCACGGCGGCACGGTCCCCTCCCCGGCCAACCCCGACGGGGCGGCCCGAGGGGACGGGGGCTACCCGGGCAGCGACGAGCCCCAGGCCGGCCTCCGCCCCCTCCCCTCCGCCCGCCCCTCTCCCCGCTTTGAATTCCTTGCCACCGAGCTGAATAAAAGTGGTTGTTGTAAATTGAATTAGTGCCTGATTAATCTGCTCCCGGGCCTGCTAGCCCAGCGGGGCGTCTTTGGCAATGCAACCGCCTTCCCTGCAGGGCAGCGGGGCTCTGCAGCCTCCCTGCCCCCATCACTCCCCCGGACCCCC